GCCCTTCGCCTTGACGTCACGGAGGAAAAGCCGTGCCCGAATCCAATCGCCGTGTCCGGCTCTTGACAATAAAGCAACATTTGTTCAACTACGTACAATATGTGTATGAAGAGGGGGAGGGGGGGGTAGGACGAGGAGGGACGGCTTTTGTACGCTTTCGCTTGCCGATTGTTTTCCGTATTACCTTGCGAGATTGTTTAGGAAAGGGGCAATTTTTCCATTTTTTTTATACTTCACACTACCTCGGAGGGGTTTTTTTGTGTGTTTTTTGTTTCACGGGTCAAAGAAAGCGATGTCACTCCTGAATCCCGTTTTGCTACACAACAGGCAACGAAATAGCCTTCTGTCACTGCTAAGGTGTCAATGGTATAATTTCTATAGGAAACTATTTTAAAAAAAATTGGGGTTTTGATTGGGTCGGTAATTGCCTTCTATTTCGGTGTAAAACACAATTCCCGTGTATCTCATCAGACAAGACTTTCTGTTACGGTTTACCTTCCTAATTAATATCGACATATCTAAATAAGAGTCCCCTTAGATCGCTGCGATCTGGCCACACTCGCCTGCCCACGTATCGGCAAAGCATCTTTAACCTACAGTGAGGGGTTAGCTGGTCCCGGATATCTCCCTTTCTAAGCCATCGACCCTCGGCGGGGGTCTCTTCGTGAAACAGCAACCATAGTAGGTTTGGAAAAAGGAAGGACGCAGCCAAGGATATGGAGGAGGAGGGGGGGGGTAAAAAAAGCTCCCTTCTCTTTTCTGCCCGTTGCAGCAGAAAGAGAGACAAAGGGCGATGTGGCACTGGGTGGGAAAAGGGGGGGGGGGGGAGAAAGGAGGGGGGGGGCCGCTCCCTAGAAGCGAAGAGCCCACACAGTACCCCAGATTCGCCCCCTCGTTCTTCTCTCGACATTGGCTCCCGTGCCTGCCAGTCACCTTTGTTCCGCCCCGAGGTGAAACGCTTGGCTTGCCCCGCTGTTACTCCCGATTTTATTAGGATTAAAAAAAAAACAGGAGGAAAAATATAAAACTGCGGGAAGGAGGAGGGGTGAGTCAAGAACTAGAGACGGATGGAAAGAAGGAGTAGACCGAGGAGAAAGAAGGCTGAGTAACAGGGAGGGAGGGAGGGAGAAAAAAGAAAAGAATCACCATTGGGTTGAAAAAGCTGCTCCTCCTCCAAAGGTGCAACCGAGACCTTTGTGTGTGTGTGTGTGTGTGTGGTGCGAGGTCCGCCCTCTGAGGCGGCTGCTTGTGCCAGGCCGGATCTCCGCGGTTTCTTTGCCAGCTTTTCTTCCAAAAGGTGGTTGCGTGCCCGGTGCACCCGGGGGGGGAGGCGCTGAATAGAGAGGCTGCGCGGCGGCCGAGCCACCCCCCCACTCCCCTCCCTTAAAAATCCCGTCCTGCAAAGTGGGGGGGGGGGGGAGGCGACAGAATTGAGCCTCGCTCGTTTGATGTCACATCGGCACCGTGGATTCCGCGGGGCGCCTTTAAACGTCCCTTTTTTAATATTCCCAGTAAGGAGGATTTTTTTTTTTAAACAAATGCCCTGAAACGTAGTTTTGTATAATCCGAATAAAAAGACACGTCTATTTCCTTTGCTGTTAAATTCCACTCGAACTAAAAATATCCACGGGCAAGTAACGAATAACCGGTTACCTCCTGCGTCCCCTTTGAAGTCATCATCACTCGATTAGGATTTGGTTTCTAGGGAAAGTACGTCAAAGGAAAAAAAGAGGGTGGGAGTAAATCCGCGGGGGGGGGGGGGGTGGGGGTGGGTGGATGTCCAGCAAGAACAGGCAAGAACTATCGCCTCGTTTTAGCTTCCTCGGGGGTCGCCCTTAAAGAGCTCACCGCGTCCTGGATTGGCCGGATTGAGCTCGGCAATGTTTCCCCCTGCGGGGTCAGATGCCCTGCAATTTGGCCTGATTTGTTCCCCAGGTGAGTGTATACAGCGCCTGGTTTCTGGTTTGAAACCCATTCCACTGAGAGAGAAACCCAAGGAGTAGACCCGGTAGTTCTGTAACCTATGGAAAAGGGATTGGAAACTAGCAAAAGCTCCACCTAGATGTTGTGCATACAAACATAGATCTAAATCTAAAGCCATGAGCCTAAAGTATTCTGCAGAGAAGGAACATAAAAATCCAATGCATAATCCTTCATTAAGAATTTTATAGTACGTTTCTTGGGAATATACAAAAGGGACATGTAGTCAGATCTCTGCTGGTTCAGCAGTAAGGCATATAAAGAGCTTCTCTGCCTAGGAATGTGGTAAGAGGTCCATAACCAGTGGTGGGATTCAAGTAATTTAACAACCGGTTCTCTGCCCTAATGATTTCTTCCAACAACCAGTTTGCCAAACTGCTCAGAAAGTTAACAACTGGTTCTCCCGAAGGGGTGCAAACTGGCTGAATCCCACCACTGTCCATAACCCAAACTGGGCCAGTGCATCTGAAGAACTGGTTGAGTTAAGATCTTACTGATGAGAATGATATACTGGTATATACATTGCTTACATGTAAATTGGTTGCACACATGTTGATGTTGTAGTTTAACCGAGATTTGCTAAAACCCTTATGCTAAGCAATAAACCATTGTTTGCAAGCCATAGGGCAGAGTTGGCGAACCTTTTCGGCACTGAGTGCCAAAACAGGAGTATGTGCATGTGCGGGAGTACTGGAAACCAGAAGAGCAGTTCTCTGGCGCGCACACGCAGAAGTGCAGGAAACTAGAAGAACAGCTCCCCGGTGCACATGCGTGGGAGCCCCATAAACTGGAAGAGCAGCTCCCTGGCACACACGCGCTGGAAACCAGAAGGTCACTTCCTTGGCGTGCATCAGGGGTGGGTTCTATTACCTGTACTACCAGTTCACTTCACTCGCACGCGGGCCTTCTGCACATGTGCAGATTGCTGATGACAACATCCGGGGTGGTGGGCAGGGCCTCCTGCCAGTTTTACTACCGGTTCTTGCGAACTGGTCCGAACTGGGGGCAACCCACCACTGGCATGCATGCGTGCACCGGGAAGCTGAGGTTCCGTTTTCTGGTAAGCACATGTGTGCCAGTCACCTGGTCTTCCGGTTTCTGGCACGCATGCACGCCAGGGTGCTGCTCTTCCAGTTTCCCGTGTTCCAACGGGTGATGGCTGGCGTGCCCGGAGAGATGGCTCTGTATGCCACTTCTGGCACGTGTACCATAGGTTCGCCATCATGGACATAGGGGGTTCAGGCAAGATGAAGCAAGCCACTTGATGTCTTAAGTTAGAATATTGTTGGAATGTTATAGGAAGTCGCTCATATATTCCTTGCATGCATAAAGTTTTAACTCATACAGACAAGGGAAAGACATCCCTATACAGTAAATCACCTAAATTCCTTAGAGAGTGAATGGGTTAGCAGTATAATAATTAACATTTAAACACTTTTTTCTGCATCTACCTAAATTGGATATGGATGCTTCAGAATATCATCGGGTTTTATTAATTTTAATGATACAGATTTGAGCTCCAGAAGCTGCAAAAGGGCTGGAGAATAGTATGCAGTCAGTGGGTTACTTCCCCTTGTTGCATTCCATTATTTTTGTTTTTACTACTTTGCTAGATAAGGCTAGGTTAAAACAATGTGCAAGATCAAACATTAAGAAACCACATTTGTACCATATGTGAATCCAGCCAGATGCATTACAGAAGGGTTATTTTAGATGCATTTTACATCCAGCAGTATTTTTAGATACCGTTCTATTGTATCATCCTTTTATAGATGTTCGTGTAAAGTTATGATGTCTAATAAATTGGGGAATTGTCATTTTTCAAGTTAATGAATGAATGAAGTATTCTTCTTACTTAAAAGACATAACTTTAATTGTAAAGAGGAATGTGAATAATTGTTATATGCATATTATATGTTGGAATAAAAAGAGAAAAATAATTGGAAAAAATCAACTAGCAACAGAATTTCAGAATATTTGTTTGTTCTAAAAAGACTTACACTTTTATCTCAGCATAACAGATAACTCTATATAAATAGGAGTTTTAATAATCCGGCAGGTCAAATGGCTTGGTGAGGATTATTTCACTGTATTTTGTGTAAATGCATTTGATATGGAATCTTTTTGTGTATTTACATGGACATGGTATTAGTTTTTAAATTAAACATCAAGGTATTTTTAATATGAGAGTGCGTTGTCTATATCCAAACTTGTATTACTCCCCACAAGTAAAGTAACATTGGAAAATCCCAGTTTTCATTTACTGTTATGATTTCAGTAACTCCAAGGCAAGCTCCCATTTTAAGGATCAATTAAAAAGTTAATATTTCTTTAAGATAATGCTGTATTTAAAGACACTGTTTAAGTGACATTAAATAATAATCTTATAATGTAGTTTAATCTTTGTATGGAAGAGGGCCTTCAGTATTCTTGAGAGTCTAGGCTTCCCATTATGAAAAAGTATATTATTAATGTAAAAATGGAAATTACTTTTCAGCCTCAAGAGTTTTATCAATATGTTGCATAATCATATCTAACATTTTTGTGCACTGATATTTCATTCTTGTATAGGATGGAAGCTTAACCATGCTTAAAAATAGATCAGTTGAAATCAGTGACACTTAATTAAGGTATGGTAAACTGAATCAATCCAGTTTGGAATTTTTTTTAAAATAAAATGTTTGCATGAACAGGTAAGCCGAGGTTCTTGCAAATTACTGAAAATATGCAGTTTATTTGCCCCTGCCCGACTCCTCTACATGTGTGAATGGCAAAACAAAGTAAAAAAAAAATCCTCTCTTTGGATCCAGCCTCTTATATTTATTGTCCAAGGTTTACAAGTTATTCCAATTGAATCTGACTCCAAGCAGTATTATTATTATTACCAATTTATTCAGAATTTGAGAATAAACTCTGCTTTACAGTTGTGGCTTGTAAAGGTAGTAAGAATGTAGAAACTCTGACTCTAATAGTACCTTACGCACCTAGCTGTTTTTCCAAATAGGAAGAAGCACACAATATCAAAAAGACTACATTTATTAGCATATAATTAGTCACAATAAACTGAGATTTACAAATGTTCAGTAGGTTCGCTGCAAGCATGACTAAGTCTAGATTCAGCCCATTAATTGCTCTATGTAATCATTAGAACCATCCTCCTTTTAGTAGTAAGGACTATTTTGTTTTAAATGTCGCATTTGCAATTATCACAGGTGTGTCAACAATAAAGAAGTTCCAGTAGCAGCATTTCACACAGTCATCAAGGTTGAGTTAACATCAGAGTTATTTCATTGGTTATACCTAATTCTATAATTCCAGAGTAGTCACCATCATCATAGGAAGGATAATTGTAACTCCGTATATAAGTTCAAGTAAGCAAGGCAATTTGCCATCATTGCTTTTTTCTTTTTTCTTTTTTTTTACTATGAATGACTCCTTTCATAGTTGCATTTTTCTTCTTTCCCTTGGAATATGAATTACTTTGTCAGGTTTCTGCATACCACAATTGTGGTGGGGCTCTAAGAAGGGTGTTGATCCTTCTGTTCATAAATCACAGTTACTAATGACTGTTGTGGCATGTGGGAGGATTCAGTTTTCATTTGGCAGATTTTTTCCCCCCATAATCTGTCAAGAGCAGGCAGAATCCTGATGGTCCTCTCAAATGCGACGGAAGAGAGATGGTGGGAAATCTGCAGAAAATCCCCAATCCATTTTCTGAATTGGAATCAGGAAGGGTCTTGACCTTCTGTTCTCCCCCTCAGTTCCAGCCAGCACTTAACAATTTTATGTGCAAAATACATATTTGTTGGCTTCTTGTGGTGGGAAGGGCAAAAGTGCTCACAAAGTGATGATTTTCAGTTTCCTCAGGGCATCCTGCAATTATAAGACTTACTCACTTGAAGGAATAACAGCAACAATTAAGCACTGCTAATAACCATTGTTTTTTCCCCCATGCCATGGTTGTATCATCCTGGTTATGATTTTAATGGCCAGAATACTGTTGTCTGTCATAGGCCTTGGAGCCCTACAGCGCTGTTTTAACTTGAGGAGATATACTCTTCAATCAATCAGGAGGGCCTTGGTAGCCCTTCTTCAGACAAATGCATTTTAATGAATGGCACAAGCATTCATGAGCCAGTACTATAGTTCCCAAAAGCTTATACCTGTTATAAACTGTTAATAAGCCATAATAAGCCACAATTAATTAGCCTGAAAGGGACTGTTCAGACTATCTGATGTTTGGTTACCATAGACTATCCCAGCTCTTGTCCTATAATATATTCCTCTAGAGTAAACAATGTAAGTGTATAAAGGTGTATGTGAAGTACAGAAAATTGGCAGGGTTATTTCCCCCCTCTGTCTCCCAGCAGAGCCTAGAGTCACAAATTCAAATATTCATTTACATAATGCATAATTAACTTACAGATGGTTCTGCTGCTGAAGGAGATAATTACTGGCTTAGGCAGCCTTAAAGGGGATTTGTCAAATTAACTGAGGAGGGGTCAATCAATGGCTCATTTATTTTGTTTAAAATATTTCCATGCTACCTTACTCTTAAAGCAATTCTTCTACATAAACAAAGGGAGTGAGAATGTAAAACAGAGTCATAAAGGATTATAAAGGTGTAAACAATAACCTACTCATAGAAAAACCAAATAAAAAATAAAAAAGTATCTTTATTGCACACTAAAAGATGAGCAGTAAAAGAGCCAATTTATTTTCTCATGGAAGACATTTCTATACATGGAACTCCAATACAGAAAAAGCTTGCTATGCATTCTTAGAAATCTCGATCAACTGATAATGGGACATCAAACTCTTCAAGGACAAATACAACATACAGGTAGACTTTTAGGGGGCCGAGAGTCCTTGCGATACCTCAGTAACAAACCATTTCAGACTTCATAGGTAAGGACCAGCTCTTGCAATTAAACCAAAAAATGATTTGGCAGCTAGTGCAATTGTCACAACGTTGGTGTTATGTGAACTGTATAATACGGTCCAGACAGCAATCAGGATATACCAGAATGGATTCTGAACACATTTCAGGAGCAGCCCCAAGTAATGAACTTTGCAGTAGTCAAAAGTAATGGAGACCAAGGAATAGTAACTCTGGCTAGAATTCCTTCAAGAAAATTACCATATATTTCGAGTACGTATAAAAGTCTCCCTGGCCATACACGAGAATCCAGGTGGTAAGTGCATGCCTCAAATTGTGCATATGCAAAGACAATGCAGTTCTGTCTAGAAAAGCTATGCAATATTTCCATTCCTACATTTGATTGTTTTCTGACCAACAAAATGCTGCCTTTCCTGCATGAGTTTGAATTTCTTAATATATATTCATTCTAGAAGTAATTCCAGACATTTTTTTTTCAATATGTGGAAAAGGATACAGTTGAAGTTCAATCATGGTGCTGAGACCCAACTTCAAAACTCTTAAATGCAGATACCAGAAAACAGAAGATAAATTAGAGATGCAAAGTACCTTATAACAGCAGCCCCTAACCTTTTGGACACCAGGGATCAGTTCCATGGAGAGAGATTCTTCCGCAGACCGGAGAGTGCGTGGTTTGGCATACTGCCTGCATCCTGTGAATGGGGTTTCACTTGTTTGCACTGACCAGTTGCTGGCATGCTGTGGACCAGTGCCAGTCCCCGGACCAGGGGTTGGGAACTCCTGGCCTGTAAAGTCAATAGTTAAGGTGCCAGAGGCTGAGCTTTAATCCCCAGCATCATTTCTTTATTTATTACATTTTTTAAAATATCCATTGGTAATAGTTCTCTTCTGTAGTTCATCAGTCAAACAGAACTGGGCCTAGAACTAATCAGTCCTAATTTGGCAAATTATCTTAGGAAGTTACTGTGATTGACTCTATCACGAGCCTTTGAGAGATTCAGCAGAACCAGTAAAGATCCAGTCTTATTTTCTGGCACTGATTGTCCACACAGGTGACCAAACCAAGTCATTTGTTTCCAAACCAAGTAAATCTGGCTTAGAATTGTCTAAACAATAAGTTTTCTGTTGAAAAACCTGCATAACAGATGCTTCAGAATCTTGTTTAAAATATAAGATTGGAGACTGATCAATAATTATTGAAAAGATTGGGATCGGACGTAGGCCTTTTCTCACAATCACAACTTTGTCTTTTAGGTACATGGATACAACATCACTGGGGACAAAATATTTACTTGACTGATCACAAGAAGCAGGCCTCTGAATACACATTGCTACAGATAGCAGCAGTTCACAAATAACAGGGAAAAAGCTGTTTGCTTTTAGGTTTTATTTAAAGATTTTTTAAAAGAAAGATAAAAACTATGCAAACCAATTATGTAGTAAGAAAAAAAATTGAAGAGAAAGCTAAAAGTGCAAGAAAGGGGGAAAAGAAAAATAGAAAAAAAGATAGTAGCTTCCAATGTTCTTTACAGCAATTATAAATAGAATTATAAATTTATCTCTTACTCTATGGTTACAACATATCTTCCTTCTTTGTATAATCTATCCTAATCAGAACCATAAATCATGATTTTATCTTTTTCTCAGAAAAAGAATTCTAGTCAGCAATAAATGAAAATATTGTCTTTTCTCTGATCAAAGAAGTCAATTTAACCACCTCAGCAAGTTCCATCATCTTTACCAATCATTCCTCTATTGTGCATAATGCTGAATCTTTCCATCTCTGTAGATACAATGATCTCACTGCAGTTAAGAACATTTAATATATAAGGTGTAAAATCATAATGTTACCCTCCGGCTGCAGGTGTGAGATTCTTTTTTCCAGGAAGAAGTTGCACTGACATGTGAGATCTCAAACTTTATCAATATGCAGTCAGCTTATGATCCAAATGGAGCTCCTCTGTTTTTAATTATTGCATGGCAAGAGAAGATCAGCATACGTGTCAAGTCCTGTCACCGTAGCTCATTCCCCTTGCATTGTGCCAACTGCAAGCAGAGTGATGTATTGTTCCATTGAGCTGGATGGAACAAAGGAGCTTTCGAAAGCAACAGTATTAAAATTGGAGCATTGATTCATCTTCTGTAACCCAATCCTAAATATTGCTCTCTATGCACCACTTCCAACTCCTCCTAGTATTTCATTCAGTTAGGACAGGGGTCAGCAACCTTAAACACTCAAAGACCCATTTGGACCCGTTTCCCCCAGAAAAGAAAACACCAGGAGCCACAAAACCCTTTCTGTGCCTGACTATTTCTTGAGCGGCCACAAAACTAGCATATATAGTTGAATTAAACATTGTTTTCTTCTGAAACTTTACTTTTCTTGGATTTATCCATGGTTGGCCTACCAGGGGTTGAAAAGCTCAATAAATCATGTGCCGGCAGGTGTCGCACATTGACGGTTGTGACACCTATTTTGAGCAACAGAGCCTCAGCAGAGGGATGAAAGAGCCACATGTGGCTTCAGAGCCGCGAGTTGCTGACCCCTGAGTTAGGATGTCCACTCAGTTTTTTCCCCACAGAGGTATACTTGATTTAAAAAACTAACCCTCTTCATACTGCCTGAGGATAAGTATTAGTGCTATTATACAATTCATATACTTGCTTTCAAAAGATAGGTACGCATGTTCAAACTATCTGTTTCATTGAATTCCAGTCAGAAGCTGACATAACCACCACATGATACAAAGTACAACATGACATTTTTCTGCAAATGTAAATACATATTATTTATATGCAATTGTTTACAAATTTTAAAAAGCTGAATATGGAGGGTGCAAATATTTAGAAACCTTTTCAGTTTGCATGTTGTAGCACTTCATCTAATAGAAATAATACCTCCAAATCTTTCTTAAAGCCAGCTAAGAGCAATTCGCTTCTTTGCTTATGGATTTTTTCCCCAACTCTTCCTTGCAGAAGTCTTCTAACTTGGCTACATCCTTAGATCTCTTTACATGTGTGATCTTCCCGCAGTTTTTCAGTCATATTCAACTAATTCAATATATCCTGGAATATATATATATATATATTATATATATATATATTCAATATATCCTGGAAGTGAATGTCCCACAGTCAGTGACAACACTGAAACTGAAAAGAGAATGGATATTCCAACACGAGAACAATCTGGAATGCATTTCCAAATCAACCATGAATCAACCTTCACATACCTGAAATTTGAAGGTTATTGAAAATCTGTGGGGAGATTTCAAATAATGCACTGCATACAAGAATATCTAAGGATACTTCTGAACTAGGAAAGAGTGTGGGAAGGAGAATCCCACAAAAAAGAATTGAAAGACTTTACTTGATACTGGAAGCGCAGAGAAGCTGTTATTTTTGTTAAAGAAGGTGTTAGCAGTTGTGACTGAAAGGGTGTCCACATTTTTGCACCTTCCATATTTATCATTTTGTTATTCTGAATTTGTAAACAACTGCACATTTACAGAAAGCTTCTGTATTAAATACAATACGGATGGTACTATTGGAGGTTGTGTCACCTTTCAGAGATTTATTGAAATGTCAAGTCAGATACTATATGGGTGCTTAAACTTTTGACATGGCATGCCTGTACTTTTTGCATCTTAGAAGAATTCTTCCAAGCTTACACTTCCACGATTGCTTCTCTTAATTTAATGGAAATTACTACAAAATACTTCTGTATTTAAAAGGAGTGATAAAGACACCGGGACCTGAGAATGAAGGCAGAAATAACCAACAAGCAATTAAAGTGACAAATTTTAAAAAGTCACTTTTAATAGGTTTCAACAAAAATAACCTATTTTGGAGCTGTTGTGAAGATGACATAATAGTTGCCTGGAGAATTGAGGGATCGGAATTAGGTATGTTCTCTGACTATAAGCTGACAACTAAGGATTGTGATCCTAAAGTGCTGACTAATGGCCACAAAATGAAATGGAAACAAAATCTCCTGATATCTTAGGAAAAAAATGGAAGGCAGCTGCTATTGTCCGGACATGCCTCTTCTGCAAAAGGAAAGCTTAAGAATCTACAGTTCATTGCAGATTCATTCTTTGCATGGCCAAACTCCACAGAATGAATAAACAGCCTTCCACCATCTTCATACTGCTTTAATTCTTGGCCATTCGTATTTAACAGTTTACTTCTGATTGCTTTACTTTTCTTATCCTATTGGATAATCAGTCTACTCATTGGTGAGTGAGTACACACAGGCATAGAGGACATGGTTTGCCTGGAAAAGGGCTCAGGGTTCACTCTCCCTTTTTATCAGTTGGAAGAATCCAATAGGTGACAGTTAAGATCTGCTTAAGGTCTCAGCTCCTACTTGCCTGAGCAGACAGAATAGAGCTAGCTAGCTAGACAAGGAAGCTGAGGTTGGGGTTAGGGGTTTTAAGCTCATGTTTTACACCTGGAGATTCCTAGTTCAGGTCCAAGTGTTTCTAGGAAGAATATTGTTATGTAAATAGGTTTGTTTGGCGGGAAGTTCGAATTAACTGACCCTCAGCTGATTGGCCTAACAAATATGGCCCACTGTACTTTACAACACTGTTGAACCATTAGCAGCCCAAGCAAATGATTCAGGCTACAGTATTACGGTAGGTAACTTTCTTTGTTTGAATCCTTAAAAGTGGAGAGAGAAAAACCCCAGGATCCCAGGTTGGAACTGCTTTTCAGGTCAATTTTAACCAGGTAGGGATGGATACACAATTTAAAAACAACAGGCAACATGTTTTACCCATACATATTTAAAATCAGATGTATAAAACTGTTGTTTTTTTTAAAAAACCCAAGAAGCTTGCTTTGGGGCTATAGATTCAATTTCAGTGCCAATAGGAGGCCTAATCTAAAGAAATCTTAGTAAAACATAAATAAGTGAGAGGAAATGACAAGGAATAAAAGAAGAGAATTAGGAAGGAACAAGACAACAGCTTTAAGAGAAAAAGGCTCAGGAATACGAAGAATTTTAAAAGGAGGAGACTCTTAAAAGAAACCAATTCATAAAAGTAAGCCATTTAAAGCAAGAGCAGGTCTGATAAAGTAAAATTAAGATGAAGAGAGGGATAAATGAGCAGAAATACAAGACATGAAAGCCAGGCAAGCAACAAGACTGAGGAATGAAATAACTGCTTCTACCCTGCTGGGTTGCTCCTGGCAAGGTACTTAAATAAATTGGGTGTTTTAATCTGTGTTTCGACCAAAATATTTAATAATTTTAAGGGACTTTTAATATTTGTATTATCTGTATTTTATCTTGGCTGTTCACCGCCCTGAGTCCTCCGGGAGTAGAGCGGTATAGAAATTTGATTAATTAATTAATTAATTAATTAATTAAAATATTAGAAAGCTGAGGCATTAGGAATGCTTTACAAATAGTAGGAAGTAACAATAAAAAAACCTTTCATTAATAATAGGTATCCCTAACACATCACAAGACTTTGCATAGTAATTATAAATGTAGCTTTGTCTACTTAATATTTTATTGGCATGACCAAAACCAGATTAAAGGTAGACAACTATGACCAAGAACAGAAAAATCAAACAGGAAAGGCTCTATTGGTTGCATGAACTGTGAAATATTCAACGTAAAAAGCAAAAATATATAGATGAGCTGAGTGAAAGGATATCAGATAATGGAAATTGAGAAGAGGTGTGTGTGAGAGAGAGAGAGGGTGGGGAGAGAGAGAGAATTACATCTCAGTGGATTTAGGGTGGAAAAGCTGAGCAGTGATGGAGTGTGTATGTTTCGTAACAGTGAAGTTCTAACTGCTGAATGCATTCAAATATTTTATTGTTTCAAAGCTGATTATCCCTGTAAGCCTTAGCTACTTGCCATACATTAAATCCCTTATTAATTGGCATCATTCCACCTTTATTTATTTTTCTAATATTGTAACTACTGTTTACACACGTCTAAGCCCATGAACATGCATTAATGTTGCTATAACCATGGCAATTTAGAATAATGCAGCTTTGCTAACCAGATGACCACTATTATATTTGTGCTGGACTAGATTCTCACCATTCCTAGTCTTCAAAGCAGTGGATGTTCCAGTTAGAAATAAGAGAAAATCTGACACTACATTTCTAGATAATTACTTTTGAGAAAAGCTGGAGTAAAGATACTTGTCTTTCAGACTCTAAGAAACCAAAGTATGCTTCCTCCATTTTTGTTGCCCAGATGCTTAGGAATAACTTCTAAATGTGATTCTTATCCATGCCAATCTAAAAAAAACAAAAACCCAGGGAACATCATGATAGGCAATTGAGGCACCTCCTACTTGATAGGGCACAAAAGCTGGCATCTATCTAACTTTCCCCAAAGGGTATTGCAGATTTAAATCATGACAATCTGGGAAGAAGGACTTTACAAAGTTGCCAAGCTGCCATCCCCTCTTCAGTTAACTGTAATAATGGAGAAATTCTGGCATCAAGTTTAAATTGGCTCTGCAGAGAGGATAAAGAACCTAGAGCCAAGAGATGGAGTAAGGTGAGAAGTCCCACCAATGGAGATAGAACTACCCCCAACTTGGCATGTTCTAGTACATCTATTGAGAAATCAGAATTGTATGTTTCCTGTTGAGTCTGAAATAAGTCGTGCAGCTGCTAAATAAAGAACGCATCACGGAATCACACATGTATGAGACTGATCTGGAAGCAGAACAAATATAACATATGGTGATGCCCGGAGGTTCCTATCATTAATTCAGGATAGGATCTACAAAATCTACCCTGGAGCCTCTTCTATATGTGAGAAACTGAGATAGCAATAGTTTTTTTGGTTAAAGCAGTTGCTGCTTAGTAGATATATGTTAGATTAGACAATACAGTTCACTATCCTCTATGAACAGGGTACACATCTTAACTGTGGGAGAAACTGAAGGTGCTAGAGAAGCCATGTTTTTGAAGATAGTTTTTGGTCCGTAAAAAACAAACAAGTTCAACCATTGTGCTTTTGTGACAATTGATTTGTTATAGGTTTTAAATTAAATATTTCCTGGCTAAATCTTTTGGAGGAAGCAAAGATGGAGAGAGGTTCTTTTCGGTCCTTTGTCCACTTTGTAGAAAAGATATTCATTCTAACCAACTGTGTGTTCTATATTTTCTTAAGCAAAAGCCCAATTTGGGAATTTTGGAGCCTTATCTATCTGTTCTTGACTAGCCAGAAAACCATATGGCATGACATTTGTTATCCCCACTGCTGAGCCCTATTTTGCCTCTATTTCAAATCACTACAACCATCCGATTTCCTTCCAAGCTAACAGAGCTGAACAGATTTTATACATATTGAGATGTCTTTGAACGGCAATGAACCAAGGGAAAATATTACTTTAATACCACTATAGTTAGAGATGATTTATGGATGTCTGACTCATGGTTGGGATCAAGATGAAGGCAATGTCATTGGGACACACAGCAGAAAAAGAAACTGCCAGGGCACGTCTTTGCTACTTTTAAGTGCAAGTGAAAACTCCAGAAATTATCCAATTACTCTTGTATGAATATGACAGTAAGGAAGTCAAGCTTTCTATCATCTCAATAATGGCTAGGTAAAATTGAAAGAAATTGTGTCAATGCTGGAAAAATGGACCAAGTCAGTTTCAGTAGAAAACTCGCTGGTTCAACTTTTGCCGGATAAAATAGGAAGTATACTAATTTCCCAAGGAATTAGATTGATAGTACAGTATTAGAATGCTAAAATGCATTGTACTCAACTACGTATGAAAAATGTGACTGTCCAAAACCTCTGTCATAAAAATAATTCACTTTAAAAACTTTAAACGAAAAAGACGTTTGAAGAGGGCATCTATTTTTGAGCGAGCCACTGTACTCTTGTGATACAATGCCCATGCCAATCTGCCTCAAGAATTGTCCCGAGTAAACCAAAGCCTTCTTTTTCATTTTGTACTTCCTCTCAACAAAATCCTCAATTTTTGTTTGGGCTGTTTCACCCGCATACACACACCTTATTTTTTCCCACACCCTTTTTGAGAAGCAAGGTGAAAACCAGCTGCTCTTTTATCATAATATATAAAGCTAGTTTAAACAACTGGATAAATTAGTACTGAGTCACTCTGTGGTGAGGATCTGTGGTAAAATATTTTAACTTTCTTTCAGATTCTGCCCTCCCCAAACATGTCAGAAGAAAGCTTTCTATTTATTTGTCTGTGTTCTGAACAAACAGATTGTGTACATTTAGTGTTACAGTTCTGTTTCCTGCTTTTCGGAATGAGATGCTAAAAATCCACCCATTATTCAACTTTGAAAGCGTTTCTTTTCCTACAACAGTATTTTGATCAATGTGTGCTTAATCTCTTATCTGTGATTTCATTATTTATCTTGACTGTGGTAATTCTGTTCGATGTAGTCTAAATCTAGCAGCTCGAAGCTTATCTGCTTTCATTGACTTTCTTAGTTGCTAATGAAAAAGTAAGGCCATGGTCCTGTACAGGCCTGTTTGTGAATAAATTGTTTGAAATTGTGTGGAATAGTAAATAGACTATGCAGTTGCACTGCTTACATTTATTTATTCCCAATAATAAATCATTTCTGGGTATGGTACATCAAAAGACATCTGACAGCCTTCGTTCATTCTATACCTACTCGAATCTCTATTCCAAGGATCTTATTACTTTGATAGATGCTGATAGTGTAGTAATAAAATCTCTCATGATACAAGATGGGAGGAATTTAAACATTCAGAAGTGCAAGAAAAAGAGAGAAGCTAAAATGGCTTCACCAAGTGAAACTCACAAAATTACATTTTGCTGGGAAACCATTCTTCTTTTATATGATCCAGTAGCATTCATCCAAAATGGCCCATGAATAAAAACATCCTATCCATAAAGGGGCCTTAAATAGATTTGGATAAATGTAAGTCCAGTCTATACAAGTGTATTGACATAGGGCAACACAGAAGGGACCATTAATATAGCTAAAAAATAAAGTATAATGAAAATTTTGCTCTACTTCTTTTGAGAAAGAAAGGAGCAGGTTTTTAAATATGCATTTGTCTTAAAATTCCAAATATAAGCTTGCCCTTATTGGGCATAAGATATTCTATGCCTTTATTATTATTTAGTGAACAAAACTTTTCTATTCCATTCCAATGTTATAATTAAAACTTCAGAACAAACTGGGACAAATTCAGGCCATTTAATATGCTACCAAGAGCAACTTAAGAGAATTAGCCTGGTGTAGTGGTTAAAGCAACAGACTAGAAACCAGGAGCCCATGAGTTCCAGTTACACCTTACACACAAGCCAGCTGGGTGACCCTGGGCCAGTCACTTTCTCTCAGACCCAGGAAGGAGGCAATGGCAAACTATTTCCAAACAACTTTGCCAAAAAACACTCCGGGGATTGTCCAGGCAGTTGCCAGGAGTCAACACTGGCAAACACATACACAAGAGCAATTTGGGCTTAATTGTGGTTAAATTACCTATATGCATAAAAAGTCGACCACCTTCAACCATGCTGCCCTTGCCCTAACTGCCTTTCTTGGTTTTTCTGATTCCCACATCACCACCATCTTCCAGCTTTGGCTGCCTTAGATTCCCCAACATAGAGGTCAGCCCTGTCCATCTAAAAGAAGCCAGTCCTTCGATCTTTTGCAACAACTCAAGCAGCCTAATGGCAGTAATGTTTCAATGTCAGAATCCACAAGGATTGTCCTCTGAAGGGCACAACAGGCTGATTAAAACACACTTGCACACATGCAAGTTTTTATATAACTTTTTTTTAAAAAAAAAAAAGCACCTATGGGCAATTATTTGTTGTAATGAACACAAAAAAAATAATCCTACTTGCTTGAAACATTTTTGTGTTTGGGGAGTATTAGACAGCCTCTGACATTTTTCACCAGGCATTAATTTGAACAACTTCAAATATTATGACTATGTGCCTGCAGCTTGGGACAGGCAACTTTGATGAAATTAAAGATAAACAAAAAGGACTCAAACCTCAGATTCAGCTGACTCTAGCAATTAGGCATGCTAGCCCTCCAACCTTTAACCTCTCCCTGAAGGTATCTTTGAGTATAGCATAAACCTGGATGGAGAAGGATAACCGTGACCGAGGTATACTGGGGGGAGAGGGGGCGGGGTGAAAGGGGCGCCTACAATCATTAACTCGGAAGCAGCCCACAACTTTATGCAAGCAGTTGTTAGGGAAATCAGTGTTTGCTTGACCTACCTTGGAGACCGGAGATAGGCATTTGTCATCTTGATACCAGAGATGCCTACTTTGCATGCTCTCTCACTCATTTTAGCGTACTTTATTCCCACAAAACTGTGTGAAGGGTTATGATTTGCTTACTTATTATTTAAAGCCTAAGCGTACACTTTTGCCATACACAAAAATAACTTACCAGAACACAGTTTGCACTTCAGGAAGCATAGTACACGTAGTCCTCAACTTACAACAGTTCACTTAGTGACCATTTGAAGTTACAACGGCACTAAAAAAAGTATCTTGTGACCATTTTTTCAGACTTATGACCGTTGCAGCATCCCCACAGTCACGTGATTTACGTTCAGATGCTTGACAACTGAGTGACATTTATGACGGTTGAAGTGTCCCTGTTGTGACCCAGGCCCACGTAGTTGATATTAAATGCAAAACAGTTCCCAAAAACAAACAGATTTTATTAAAACAGCTGAGAATTAACTTGTTCTCAGCGTATTCTAAATGAAATGAAAGCAAAGTCCTTAAAACACCAGTCTTTAGTTTATCTCTGACCTTGGGATAATTAGGCAAACTGCCAAAGGCTTTTCTTGGCAACAGTTCAGGAACAGAAGAAATAACTACAGCCAAACAAGAAGCAATTCTCTCAATGGTTGTTTTCCGGCAAAGAGGCCCAAGAGCCGTTGCTGGTCTTTTAAGCCTTATGGGAGGGGCCAATCCTCTCTTGACCCTACTCCCGAGTCGTCCTCTCTGCTTTAGCTGCTCCTGCCTTCTGGCAGCTCTTCTCATACGTGCACTAGGAACAGGCTCTTCCTGTTCCTCTGCCTCTCTACTGTCAGCCTCTGGAAGCTCTGAAGTCTGCACATCACTCCCCGATGGCCCTGGCCCCATCTCTGCCTCTGACACAGAGCCCTTATCAGGGCCTTCCCCAGCCTCCAGGACTGGCCCATGTTCTTCCTCAGCCTCATCGCTGTCCAACTACGCTGCCAGTTCCGCAGGCTGCTGGCGGACCACAACAGTTCCAGGGTCATGTGACCATCTTTTGCCACATTCTGACAAGCAAAGTCAATGGGGAAGCCAGATTCACTTAACAACCAGGTTACTAATTTATCAACTCCAGTGATTCACTTAACAAGTGTGGCAAGAAAAGTCATAAAATGGGACAAAACTCACTTAACACATTTCTCACTTAGAAACATAAATTTTGGGCTCAATTGTGGTCGTAATTTGAGGATGACCTGTAATTTCTTTAGCCTCAGACTGATGTCCCAAAAACCATGACTTCCAAGGAAAATGAGATGGGGAAGGTAGAGGAAAAAGAGCAAGTTCAGATAAGTAAAGGTAAAAGTTCCCCTCGCACATATGTGCTAGTCATTCCCAACTCTAGGGGTCGGTGCTAATCTCTGTTTCAGATCAGAAGAGCCAGTGCTGTCATCTCCATGGTCATGTGGCCAGGATGACTAAATGCCAAAGGCGCACGGAACGCTGTTACCTACGCTGTTACCTTCCCACCAGAGGTGGTCCCTATTTTTCTTCTTGCATTTTTTATGTGCTTTCGAACTGCTAGGTTGGCAGAAGCTGGGACAAGTAATGGGAGCTCATCCCATTCTGCGGCACTAGGGATTCGAAACACTGAACTGCCAACCTTTTGATTGACAAGCTCAGCTTCTTAGCCACTGAGCCACCACATCACCCAAGTTCAGATACACCTGCTTAAAATTACAGTTCTCATTTTTTAAAAGAATGGCATGAAACGCTTGGAATAGTTAACACGAGGTGACAATTCAAGAAAGGACGAAAGCAGCCAATTTCTTAGCAGGAATTTTTTTCTGCTTCTTTTTGCCTCTTTTATTTTGCAGCCTCTTGGAGATTTAGCTGGAGAATGCGCTCCAATCCACAGCTGAGACACTTTGCACAGAAGGTGTGCTGGTAGAACTCAAATATATGTTAGCATAGTGAATTCATATTAGGACATCAGTGGATTATTTATTTATTTATTTATTTATCTAAGCTTTAATCAAATAACAAAATAAAAACATACAAAATTATAAAGAAAGGAAAAAGAAAGGCATGCGGGACTTATATTTAAGGCTGCATATACATATATTATAAACATAAGGCATGCAATAAATGGCAACTCTACAGTATTTCATTATGTTCACCAGAGTCAGCTGCACCAGTGGAAGCCTTATTAATGTGTTATATAGTTCTTACTGTGATATTGTTCAATAGTTTTTAATATTTTAAATCCTCCTGTAATCTGCTCAGAGAATTTCGGCTACTGGATGTATTTAAGATCAAAAAAGTACATAAATAAATCCACGGGATAACATTTCAGAAAAGGTGAGGAATGGAAGGAGTGGTAACTATTTATTTTAATGTTGACTGCCAGGAATCTTAGGGTAACGTACATAACCTCACCCCCTTTTTAACTCTGGAGGACTCTGATAAATTGAGTGGTTCTCCCAAAATCACCCCATTTGCCTTATGGCCAAAGAGATATTTGAACCCAGATTCAACATCAAATATTTCAGGCGCTGCCTCCTACAGACAGGTGGAACTGAATGGCAGAAGAAAGGAATTCAAGAAATCCAATACTTCTTCACTGGCATCTCCAACCTTTTGCTCAAATCTAAGAAATTTCTCTTACTGGTAACCCTTCATAGCTCTTGCAGTCATGATAAAAAGAGGACTGTCATAATCATGCATTGTCTTGACTTCCTTCCTTCCTTCCTTCCTTCCTTCCTTCCTTCCTTCCTTCCTTTTGCATTTGCCAGGTACTGAAAATAGCCTTAAGACAGAACAAATTTGGTGTCAAGAGGATAAGAAGCAAAATTTCCAGGCCATTTGAAAGACTCTATTTAAAAAATATCAAATGAAGACAAAGTATTAAATCGTCAGAAAAGTAAATGCCCTAAGTAAACCTACCACCAATAGGTAGCCATTGACAACATTCAAAGTAAATTAGCACCAACTACTGAACATAAAAAGAAACTCAACATTACAGTATGTCTACACATTCTGGGAGCTATACAGTAGTCCCGACACATCTAAAGGGTGTTCAGTTGAAGAAGGCTACCGTAAAGATATCTCTGCTTTTGTCACAGGAGACATGGTCCTTCCTTGATGATGTCAGTTCATTTCTTCAAAAAATTAGCATGCTTTTTGGTACTTTTGCCTCTGGGAAAAAACCCTAGATGTTGGAGAAC